GCAGCAAAAAAGTTAGAGCCGGCCCTGTCTGGGGCTGTGCACCCCAGAGAACATTACAATCCCAGGAACATGCACTGTTAGATATGGGCAGTGGCCAGGGTTCAGCTGCACCGAAAGCATCCTCCTAGGGGAGAGGGCTGCGGGGAGGGTGCTTTGGCTGTGTGTGAACTCTAAGGGATTGAATTTCTTATTCACATGTGAAGAGTGTCTCACATTTAACTCGGAGGATGGAGGAAGGTTTGTTTTGGCTTCTGTTTTTTCCAGACTGGCTTTTCCCATACCAAGATGATAGTGGAGCTGAGCAGCTGGGATTCTAGCAGAGGTGCCGTGGGTGGAGGGACAGATTTCCCCCCTTCCCCCCATGATTAGGAAGACAGTGTTTTTTAAAAATAGAATATTTAGCTAGGTTAGATTTCAGTCCTTTCAGTCATTAGACGTGTCCCTTTAAAAAAATGTTTGGGTGACCCCAGCTTCTGTTTATAGTCTCCAACATTTCCCCTCTGGGCTCAGTCCTCCACTCTGGCTGAATTCTTGCTGTGAATTGATCGTAATCGTTTTGTTTGTTTGTGTCCCCCAGTATCCATGAGTACAGGCTATCTAGCTGGCTGGGGCAGCAGGAAGATATTCACCGTATTGTGCTCTACCAGTCTGACAGCACCCTTACTCCTTGGACACAGCGCTGTATCCGACAGGCGGACTGCATCTTAATAGTAGGGTTGGGAGAACAGGAGCCCACTGTTGGAGAGGTGCGGAATGTCTTTCTTTTTATCTGAGGGTGGGGGCAAAATTGCAAAACAACCTATTGTGTGACTGAGGCCTTTTTCTGGCTTTGGATTTGATACCCCTTGGTCATTATCACCTCCCTGGAAGTTTCTTTGAACTCCTGGGAGTTTGGGGAAACCTACCACCTGCAATCTCTGTATACATCACCTCCCTGGCTTGTCTCAGCCTTGGAACAGAACTAGTGAGTAGATGGAGAATGGGAGTGCTGTAAGTTAAGCTATGATAATAATGAAAAGTAAAGAAGACAAGGAGGGAAGAATGGAAGAAGGAGAAAAGAATATTTGAAAAAAGTGTCCTCATGTAAAATAGGCTGAGAACACCCTAAGCAGCAGTAAGCATTTTTAAACCTTTACTTTTTATCAGCTTGGGAGTAGATTTCATTTTATATGAGCGTCGTATGTCCATCTTGTTTAGATGTACAGTAGGCATTATATGGAAATAGTGTTCAACTTGTTTACTTTAAACGGCTCTTTATAAGTTCCTGCTAATCTTCAAGCAGGGAAAAATTAACTAGCTAACATTGTTAAGAGTAGCCACATAAATGCAAAGGAAGGTGAAAATATATTAGCCTAAATTACCTTTGTGCGATTCGTCCTAGTGTGCACATTTACACAGCTCCCTGCACATGCAGATGAGGTGAGGAGCAAGATGGGAATGTGGAGGAAAGTAGAGGTGGTGTACTTTTGTAAGAAATACTGTACTCTGTTAGATTGGCCCTGTCCTAGTGGATGTCTGACTGTGTGAGTGTAATGTGCTTCAGCTAGAAAGGATGCTGGAGAACACAGCAGTCCGAGCCCAGAAACAGCTGATCCTGCTCCATAAAGAGGATGGGCCTCTCCCTTGCCGAACTGTGGAGTGGCTCAACATGAGGAGCTGGTGCTCAGCTCATCTTCACCTCCGCTGTCCCCGTCGAGTCTTCTCCCGGAGGAGCCTGCCCAAGCTGGTAAGGGATACCTGCCTCTGTGTGTTGGTCTTCTGTCAGCACTTTCAATCCTAGCACCACATTTACTGTTCATTAAAGATAACCTGGGATAATGTCAGTGCATCATGCTGTGACCTGCAGTTGGGAAAGGTATTACCAAGATATTGTCTCCATTAATTGAGGGCCTAATTCATTGTGGAAATCTAGTAGAGATCCTTGGTTTACAGCTGATTTAGGGACTGAAGGATGTATGTAGGGGTTTTGATCTGTTGGAGCCAGTGAATATGTATAACTGTTGCAGATGATACTAAACTGCTCAAGATAGTTAAGACCAAAGCAGACTGTGAAGAACTTCAAAATGGCAAATGAAATGTAATGTGGATAAATGTAAAGTAATGCACATTGGAAGAAATAACCCCAACTATACATACAATATGATGGGAGATAATTTAGCTATAGCGAATCAGGAAAAAGATCTTGGAGTCATCGTGGATAGGTCTCTGAAGACGTCCACGCAGTGGGCAGCAGCGGTCAAAAACGCAAACAGGATGTTAGGAATCATTAAAAAGGGGATAGAAAATAAGATGGAGAATATCTTATTACCCTTATATAAATCCATGGTACGCCCACATCTTGAATACTGCATACAGATGTGGTCTCCTCATCTCAAAAAAGCTATACTGGCGTTAGAAAAGGTTCAGAGAAGGGCAACTAAAAGGATTAGGGGTTTGGAACGGGTCCCATATGAGGAGAGATTAAAGAGGCTAGGACTTTTCAGCTTGGAAAAGAGGAGACTAAGGGGGGATATGATAGAGGTATATAAAATCATGAGTTATGTAGCGAAAGTAAATAAGGAAAAGTTATTTACTTGTTCCCATAATACAAGAACTAGGGGCCACCAAATGAAATTAATGGGCAGCAGGTTTAAAACAAATAAAAGGAAGTTCTTCTTCACACAGCACACAGTCAACTTGTGGAACTCCTTGCCTGAGGAGATTGTGAAGGCTAGGACTATAGCAGCGTTTAAAAGAAAACTGGATAAATTCATGGAGGTTAAGTCCGTTAATGGATATTAGCCAGGATGGGTAAGGAAGGTGTCCCTAGCCTCTGTTTGTCAGAGGGTGGAGATGGATGGCAGGAGAGAGATCACTTGAACTGTTATATAGCCCTGTCACGGGGTGGTCCCCCTGAGAGTCCTTTCAGGCCTTAATCACAGACCGCACCCACCCTAGGTCTCTTTCACCACCATGTTTTCTTGTATTCTTCTCGCAGGCCACAGCCAGTAGTGCTATTTACATCTATTTTCCGTCCGTAGCCAGCCCTCCTTGCTTGCTTCTAGGGAAGGGAACTGTAGTAGCAGCATCTAGTCCTGCCTGCTTCAGCCTTTCTTAAGGCTTCCTGTTCTCCCCCCGCACTACCGTCCTGCTTAGCTCAGAGGTGGGCAAACTACAGCCACATCCAGCCCGCGGGACTCCCCTGCCCTGCCCCTGAGCTCCTGGCCCTGGAGGCTAGCCCCTGGCCCCATCCCTGCTGTTCCCCCTCCCCCGCAGCCTCAGCTCACTGCGCCACAGCCAGGGCCGGCTCCAGCTTTTTAGCCGCCCCAAGCGGCAAAGAAAAGAAAAAACAAAACAAAACCCAATTGCGGTAAGGGGGCAGGGAGCAGGGGCGTTGGATAGAGGGCAGGGGAGTTCTGGGTGGTGGTCAGGGGGCGGGGGTGTGGATAGGGGTTGGGGCAGTCAGAGGCCGGGGAACAGGGTGGGTTGAATGGGGGCAGGGGTCCCGGGTGGGCAGTCAGGAATGAGAGGAGGGGTTGGATAGGGTGGCAGGGGGCAGTCGGGGCGGGGGGCCTGGGGGCAGTCAGGGGGACAGGGAGGGGTGGATGGGGCAGGGGTACCCGGGGGGCCATCATGGGACAGGGAACGGGGGGGTTGGATGGGGCAGGAGTCTGGGGGGGTTGGATAGGGGGTGGGGGCTGGGCCACGCTTGGCTTTTGGGAAGGCACAGCCTCCCCTAACCGGCCCTCCATCCAATTTCGGAAACGCAATGTGGCCCTCAGACAAAAAAGTTTGCCCGCCCCTGTCCTAGCTGTTGGGGGTACTTCTGCCCAGTTAGCCCCTCAGCTGTATTTCTATTCAGTTAATTGGTCTCCTCTGCCAACTACCAGTTAGGTCCCAATTAATATAGCCTGGTGGTGGTAGAGTGACAGGGTGCTGCGTTAGTGCCGGACTCAGTACACCCTGTTACAAGCCCTTAGTGTTATCATAAGGCTCTCAGTGTTTGAGGAGAGGGTGCAGAGAGCCAAGCAGGCTGAAATCCTGCATAAATTGAGGAACTTCTTTGTGGAATACAAGAATGAGGCTTTCTGATGGTTAGTTGCAACTAGTTGCATTTTCTTAGTGTTTGAGTTCAACATTTGATGTTTTCCTTCCTGTTCATTTTTGGATACTTCATGTTATTTTTGTTTTGTTTTTTAGGAGGTTGGGTGGGAGGAAGGTATGTCATGACTTTATCTTTCCCAAGAAGTTGCACAGTGCATATCTTGTCATGCAGCGCAATTGCACATTCTCAACTCAGTGGAAGAGGGAGCCTTTTAAACATGTGGTCAAAACTGGTGGCCACCTTAATACAGTGAAGGCCGAGTAGCTGTTTCTCTTACAAATTCCCCCAGCCTCCAGGTTTTGTAACAAAATGTCAGAACAATTGGAAATGGCATCAATGTGAAGCTTGGTTGAATATCATGGGATTCTGCCTAGTTGAAGTTGTAACTTATTTTGCAGGCAGGTCCATCTTTAAAGTGGATAAACTGCTGTAGTGTTAGAAAGAGAGCGAGAGAGCTTCAGCTTTAGTTAGCTGTTCATTTAGGGACCAGTTCTATCCCATTGATTACACTGGGAGCTTTCGGTGCTCTGCAACTTTGAAAATTAGGCCACCTCTCTTTAGTACCTAAATGTGGGTTATATGCCTAATATTTTGTCCTTATCCTCCTTGCCTCAGTGTCCCTGTTTACAGATGAAAAATGTGACAGTGCAAAATGTTATTTCTTCCCTGTGTTTGGCTGGCAAGCCTTCCCTTAGCTTGTTTGTTGAACATCCCTTAACATTGGTTTGTTTTGAAATGTTGACAGAAACAGGTTTGTGGGCTACATTCTGATTATGACATCTAAAAGAAAATTAAAATCCTGCTCAGTTTGTTTAATGATTTTGTTAGTGACACAAGCTGAGCCAATTCTCTGTGTCTGAAGGCGTAATCTGTCAGCCATGACTAGGAAGGAGGGATGAGGACATGTTTGTGCCGCCTTGTCCTTTGGTTCACCCCCCTCTCCACATGGTTCTCCATAATGGACAAATGAGTGCTAGAGACAATCATCCGAGGTTGCAACCTTTAATTTCCTTTAGCTCCTATCCTCTGACAAGGTACTTGCAAGCTACAGGGTCAAAGGATTACCCAGACACTGCCACCATGCTAAGAGCCGTGCAGCATCGTCTGAATATCAGGGCTATAAAGCACGTTCCCCCATCCATAACTTTCTATGGAATGTATTTTTTTCATAGATTCACACACACACACAAAATCAGAGGCTTCAGAGCAGTTGGGAACCTGAAATCCTTGAGCAGGCTCTAGCTCTTAGTGGGTACACTGTTATCTATTCTGACACCTGTTCACCCGGGAGACTACATGTCTTCCATTGACCTCTCTCATATGGATCTCTGCTGCCACATACAAGATTCAGAGCCACTGATTAAGGGCCAACCCCCCTCATCTGTTGCTGCTTGGATGGGTCTTGTAGGTCCATCTGGGTCTGTTCCTAATTGCATTGTGTCTGTAAGGGATTAGGGAACATATCAATGAAGAAGAGAAATATTTGGCTTTTGCCTGTAAGTTAGTTGTCTTCAGTTATGCCTGTGGCCCACCCTGCATTGGCCAGTATTAATGCTAACGTAAACATTCTTAGAGGGAAACAAATGTACACACTTCAATTTTCTTATATTTTAAAAAGGAACTTTCATTATTTTTAGCTGTGTAAATTACAGCCTTCTGGGTGGGGGGTTGAGTGGGTCTTCGACACTGCAATATGAACAGCTTTGATCTGCCTCCTGATCTTCCAGGAGAAAACCCACCCATCAGATGTGTGTCATAATATTCCTATGATCTTTACCTCCTACATGCAGACAGTACCAGTTGTGCAAGTGCAACTGTTGACAGCACTGGCATTAAAATCATTGCTTGTATTAAAGCCCAGACTCTTAATATCGTAGTAACATCACGTCTGTGATTACTGCTGTCCACATCTGCCATTTTTTTGCCTTCCCCCCCCTTTTGGCTTATGAACTCTGAATGCAGCTTATGGAAGCATCATTTGCTTTTGTATATGTCTTGCATGCTGCAGTTTTTCATCAGGAGGAAACTCAAGAATCTTACTAAGCTCAGTAATTAATTAGTGGAGAGCTGTTGTGTTGGCTCATCAGCCCAGATTTGAAGGTGTTTAGCAGGACCTTCCAATTGCTCATTTTGCTGTGAAACAGGTGCATCTCCTGCTTCTCTTCATGTTTTTATCAGATGCTTGAGTTCTTCTATTCTGGGTGGGAGGGAAAGTGTTAATGCATGAATGAAAGCTTCTGTTTTTCTTCTAGTAGTGTCCCTACGGGTGCTCCACTCTAGGTTTTCTAGCACCCCCTGCGCCTTTGATTAGAGATTTATCGCAGCAATGTCCTTTTGGCCTGCATGTGTGCCCTAGTCAGCCTCGTGCCCCATGCCGTTGTTATATAGTACTGCGTGGGTGAAGCACCCTCAGTTCCTCAACCACCTCAACCTTAGATGGAGCTCTGGCAGTTGTTCCCATTGAGATTTTCTCAACTTGTCCTCCTTTCTTATGCTAATAGATAGTCTGAGGGCTTGTTTGACGCACGGCAGTTGATCCACCTAAAGAAGACCCGCTAAATCGACCACCGATTGGTCTCCCGTCAACTCCGGTACTCCATCGGAACGAGAAGCATAAGAAAAGTTGATGGGAGAGTTTCTCC